CTCCGCTGATCCAGCGTCCTTGTCCGCAGCGGCCACATCATCACTGATCCGGACAGTGTCAGAACCAGCCTCTGAACGAGAGTCCTCCGTACCTGACCCGCTGGCTTCACTGTCCTCCACATCACTGTTGTCGTCAGCCTCATCGGAATATTCATCTTCCTCCGCCTCAGATCCCGAGTAGTATGAGTACTCGTCCTCCTCTTCAGCAGCCATGTCATCAGTCACCCTGACCTTCTTGGGTGTTGTTGAACGCTCCAACTCTTCGCGGTCAGACAACTTCTCCTTCTTTTGGAGGTTGTTCCCGGAAGATCCAGCGCTCTTACCAGCCTCTGGACGAGAGTCCTCCGCATCACTTTTGTCCTCAGCTTCATCAGAATATTCATCTTCCTCCGCTTCAGAGCCAGAGTAGTATGAGTACTCGTCCTTATCTTCAGCAGCCTTCCTGACCCTGCCAGAGCCGGCCTCTGAACCTGACTCATTGGCCTCACTGTCCTCCACATCACTTTTGTCGTCAGCTTCATCAGAATATTCATCTTCCTCCGCCTCAGATCCCGAGTAGTACGAGTACTCGTCCTCCTCTTTAGCAGCCGCATCATCGCTCATCCTGGCCTGCTTGGGTTTTGTTGAGCGCTCCAACTCTTCGGGGTCAGACATCTTCCTCATTTGCGGGTTGTTCTCCGCTGATTCATCTTGGTGCCCATGGGGTGACTCCGCTTTGTAGAAATGGGGGTTGTTCTCCGCTGAGTCATCTTGAGGCGAAAGGGGCGACTCCGCTTTGTAGAAATTGGGGTTGTTCTCCGCTGACGCATCTTGAGGCCCATGGGGCGACACGGCTTTGTGGATTTGGGGGTTGTTCTCCGTTGAGCCATCTTGAGGCCCATGGGGTGACTCCGCTTTGTAGAAATGGGGGTTGTTCTCCGCTGATTCATCTTGAGGCGAAAGGGGCGACTCCGCTTTGTAGAAATGGGGGTTGTTCTCCGCTGACGCATCTTGAGGCCCATGGGGCGACTCGGCTTTGCGGATTTGGGGGATGTTCTCCGCTGAGCCATCTTGAGGCGAATGGGGTGACTCCATGTCCGCTGTGTCGCCATGGAGACCGAATCCGTCGAAACAGCAATCGTGCACTTCCACTTTGGCCCTGCGCTTCTCCAGCACATCGGAGAGTGACATGGTGGCCGTGGGAAGGGGAGCGTCGCTGCCATGCGCCATGAGTTCTCGAGGAGATGCTTCGTCTTAAATGCTGTGCAAACATAGGCACGCTGGCCGCACATTATCAGCACTATTCAAGGTGTGTTCTCTGAGACGTGGAGCATGTGACGTACTTATGAACGTGCGTACTTATGAACGTTCGAGTAGACCTGATGTTCAAAGCACGGGAAGCCATCAGAAGAGGCTCCTTGAACAGGATCAGCAGACGAGCTAGAACTCACACTATGAAGCGGCGAAACCACACTCGTGCAGCAGACTTGCAGTTGCGCACGCGGCTGATTTTGCCCCCGGCTGAAGTACAATATGTGGGCTAACGAGCACGCAGCTCAGCAACCTCGTGTCTGTGAGTGTCCCTGCTATGTCCCGCTTGTGTCCGGCATCCGTCCACGTAGGCAATGATGTCCTGCTCTCTGAAAGCTGGTGACCCTTTATAGAAGCCAAAGCGCTGTCCGAGCAAAATGCAGCCTAGTGACCCAGCGAGTTCCGGTGCAAGCTGAAGTCCAGGAGTGGCCTTCGTCATCGTCCTCCTGTCTTGTGCCACATGTGCCAACAGCTTCTAGCATGCTGACTTACAACAAGCATACGCCGCTGCGACCTCCTCAGGCTACGTTCAGATGGGAACGCAGGAGCAGAGCCGCCTTATCACTGGGGCACCATCAAAAGCAATGGTCAGAGCGAACTCCAAGGAGTCTGCGATGTGGCAGCATTGCTTGAAGAACAGACAGGAACTGCATCATCCTGGCAGGACAGAAATGCAGAAACGCGCTGCATCGGCGCGAGGCCTTTCACATGAAGCCAAAGCTGTCTGGGATTTTGCTAAGTGCCTGTATGCCTCAGCTTAAGTATCATCAGCAGGCATCATGAGCACCAGCTTTTTTACTGGCACATCTTCATCCGGGATGCCTCAGACACGATCAGTGACCTGCCAAGAACCAGTCTTTGACCTCGGACAGGAATCTAATCGCGTCGTTCGCGTACTTCGAGTCAGAGATGTCTGGGTGGTGCCTCAGCACAAAGGAGCGGAAGATAGTCCTTCTCTGGGAGATGGGCTGCCATCGTTGGCCACGCAGTTCGGCCTCTATTGCGCGGGTGATCTCTGCGGCCTCCTCATCATCCGGGTGTGTGAACATAAACGAAGGCGCCTCAGCAGGCTGCCAGAGGAAGAAAGCTTCCCTAAGCAGCTGCTGCCGCTGCAAGCTCAATTTCCCTCTTCGCTGCTTCGTCCGCTGGTCCAGAACCCACTCACCGAGCTTGAAGCCAGAGGTGGTGACATGGAAGGCAGGCACGGTACGCTTCCGGTGTCGAGACACGTACATCCGAAGCTCGGACAAGCCTTGGGCAAACGTTTCGGAGTCGGGGTCTAGCATGACTCCGAGACCTTTCAAGCGTGCCACCTTCCGGTCCTTCAATGCGCCGCTTTCCCACTGCTCCCGTTGCTTCTGCACCCATGCTCCCAGTTCGTGTCCAAACTGCGTAGCAAGAAATCGGACATTGACGTTGTTGTGCCGGTCTTTATACGCCAGAAGCCGACCCAGCCACATGTCCCACGGGTCTCCCAAGGTCTCCACACCACGGGCAATGGCAATCTCAGCTTGTCTCCGCGCATTTCCCTTGTTGACCAGACTTCGAAGCGCAAAGGGCAACTCGTCCCATTTCAAACGCCGGTCCTTGCGGCCAAACTCCACGGAAGTTTGCTGGAGGGCCTCCTCTGCTCGCTGATCTTCTATGGCAAAGGCCATCCATGCAGCAGAGGCATGGTTCTTTGCTGCACCTGCCACGATAATGGAACCCTTGGCTTTGCCTTGTCTCCATCGTGCCAAACGTGGAAACTCCTGTGCTAAGTGGACGTAGTTGGGCGCCGTCCCTGCTACCAGGAGGGCATCCACGGATGGATCCGAGAGGTTATTTCCTGTGGTGACCAGGCACTCGCCCTCCGTCTTCTCCGCCAGTAGCCTGGCAAGCACTGCCGTGAGTCGAGGCTGCTCCGGCACAACATGCACCGAGTGGATCCCCAGCTCAGAATGCAAGTCTGCGAGCTCTTGCGCGACATCCGTGACGTTAGTGGAGGAAATGATCTGAAGGCCGATTGGAACGGTCATACCTCGCTGCTCAGCATCCTCATGGGTCAGGCGGTAAACCTCTGGGCCAAACTTGCTTTGAGGTGCCTCTTCGGGAAAGCCTGGCTCCTGACCAGGAGCCAGGAGGGCCCCTGGAGCTATTCCGAAAAGATGCCTGCTGGACAGGAACACGCGTCTGCGTGCAGGAATAAGGTCATCCTGCGCACCCAGCGCATGAAAGCCCCCTGCCCGAAGGATGTGTGCAGTCGCGAAAGTCATGATGTCAAGAGGCTTTTTGATCTTGGACTCCAGCAGAGCCAAGCCCAACTTCATCATGCGGCCGTAAGGGCAGAGCAGTACAACAGAGCTATTCGACTTCAGGCTTTGTATGACCACCCGCTTGCTCACCAAGCTATCTGATAAGTCGAGCACGGTGATGCCTGGAAAGTGCTCACTGTAGAGTTGGCCTGCTTCTTGCACTAAAGGGTTTGGAACAGCGACTGCTGCACGAAAGAAAGGCAAGCTCTGCGAGATAGCTAGGAACTTTTGAAGAACTTTTAGGCCAACTTGCAGCTCTCCGGCGCCACTCGGCATCAAAATGGTTGACGCATTTGCTTCTTCAAGTGCACCAACCGCTGCGTCTGCAGCCTCTTCCCAGACTACTTCTCGTGCACGTTCTGGGGCTACAACGGCCTCCTTCTCAAGCACTACTTCGCTCAATGTCTGCGCCCATCCGCTTGGTCGATGCCTGCATCCCTCTCTGCTAGCAGGCTTCCGTGATTCCGATTGCCTAGCGCGTGTCAAGCCAGAACCAACAAACGCATCCTCTATCCAGCACAGGGAGATGGCAGAAACCAGGGCCACGAAGGTCTGCCGCGGTCCCCATCCGGAGCGTGTTCGGTGGCGGACACGGGACATCATGGGAGCCTACCTACCTGCAACACCTGGAAAGCGTTGTACTCTGGTAAGTTAGTCAACTGTTGCTAGCTCATGCAGCTGCAGCATTTGGCTGGTGTTTTAGCTGGTGTCCTTTTGGGCAAGCCTGCAAGGTCTAGAAGCCAGAGTCTGGGCAAATGGCAAGTAATTCACAGAATTGGCGGGGCGTGTGCAACTCATCTGACTTGAACATTTGTGGCTTCAACATCTGGCAGGCAGCGCGAGGCAACACGTGGGCCAGACCATCTGGTGCACCAGACAATGCAAAGAAAGCCCGGTCCGTGACAAGACACTGCTTGCCCGTGTCTTTGTTGGCGTCGTGCACGTAACACGGTATCTCCTGACTTCTTCCGAATCCTCTAAGAAACGACACACATATCTTTGCAAGCGAATTCCCCACAACTGAGACCAGCCGTCCTGCCCGACCTGGTGTCCACAGCCTCTCAGGCTGTGAAGGATTTGGCCACAGGTCTGGCTGCCACTTCAGGTGCTTAGCCTGCCTTCCTCGCAGGGGAAGAAGCTTTTCAGAAAGGCCTTTCGCAATTCTGAGGCTTTCTGGACATCAAGCAATTCCAAGATGTGTGTTGTAGTACATACCCCATGGCAAGAGTCTGGAGATGGTGAAGAGAACACCGTTTGTTAACTTGAGAGCAGCACGCAGCTGTTGATGAACTCCAGCTCCAAGTCTTCGCAGTGCCTCAGCTGCAGCTGACCGAAAGAAACGTTTGATTGAGCTTCGGAGAAATTCAAAACAGAGGGTGCCAAGCGCATCACGTCACAAAATGGCTCAAAAGTGGTAGACCCACGAAACCGAATGCAGAACACCGACTGTTGACACTGTCGAGACGTGACGAAGATCCGGGCTTCAGAGGACAGTGACCAAGATAGCCAGGATAGCCACCGTTCATGAGTCCGATCCCGCTGAGCGCTGGTACTTTGAAGACGTAGATCCAGAGGATGACGACCCCTCCTATCCCCGTGCTTTTGGAAACACTAATTATAGCCACAGGGGCATGCACTTCTTCTAAGTTGTTGTTGTTGTTGTTGTTGTTGTTGCACAAGCATGGGACGTACAGAATTTGTTGTCCCAGCCACTTGGGCATCTTTCAAAATGCCACAAGGATGGCAGGCTAAGCAAGCTCTCAAACCTTGTTTGCACTATCATGTCACAATACCAATGCACCGCTTTGTGCCTGGGGACTTGTCATGGGGACTTTAGGCTGTGAGGATGGGCCCTTACCAGCAATGTGTCATCACGCCCTTTGTCTACATCTCCAGCATCCGTGCATTCTCTCAGCACTAGAAAGATAAAGCCGTACTCTAACGTGATCATTCAAATTGCGTGCCCTTTTTTTTTGCAGACCCTCTTTTCCGTCTCGCAGATCCAGAAAAGCGTCAACTGCGCAGGGGCACTATTCACTTACCAGGACGTCCCGAGGACTAGTCCAAATCCCACATCCCTACGGCAACCACTGGACTGTGCTGACAAGCAGTCTGTGTGGGTCATGGGCGCCACGGAAAACAGCTACGTAAACAGCGTGCCCCTTTCGATACAAGGGTCGTCCCACACTGATTAGCTGATTAGCCATGGTAATTAGGCACATGCCAACTAGCAGTCACAGGATTTGCAAAGCAACGTGCAACAAACAGCATCTGGGCAAGTGAAGACAGCACTACAAGACACATTCTACTTCCCCTTGTCTGTTCGCGCGACCTTTGCGCACTGCTGGTAGGGGAAACTTTTTCGAGCGTACAACTGCACGAGATTAGACAACTGTTCCGATCCCGATTCTGGCGGCCAAAAACTTCGACTTGGGTCCACAACGGGATGCTGGGGTCCAAAGTGATGGTAGTAGGAGGACAACGACCCTCACCTGCGTGAATGTTAAGACCTGTGACACGCAACGAAGATAGGCTCCCAAAATCCAGAGGATTCCATTCCTGACACTCCTGACATCGGTAAACTTCGACACCTGGGGTAAGACGAAGATGCAGACAACGATCTAGACTTAGTCGCGAAGCTTCTGACCAGTTACGGACAATCAGTGAGCCGACACAAAGCCAAGACACCCTTGCCCCCAGCCCCGCAATTTCTATATTTACATAGTATGGGACCCTTGCAAATGCGCTAGCATGAAAAAACCTTCTTCAAACTGGCGACGGTGAGCAGCGCTGAACGCTCCACAAGCCCTGAGGCCCCAGCATTCCAATCCGCGCACACATGTTGGTGCAAGACTCTCCTGGGTTTGCCTGCAGCTCTCCAGGGCGAGGAAACCCACAAGCTAGTCAATAATAATCTGGTCCAATGTACGCACATGGATACCTTTTTTTGCCGTGCTCCTTCAGCATTCCTGATATTCCTGCATTACCGACGGCCTGCGTGGTCAACCTCCACTGATCTCCACTGCATCTCGTAAAAATGTTCTGGTGTGTGTCTGCTTTCATGCAATCTCGTGGCCATTCGTGTGTCGTGCAATGTCGTGCGCACGGCTTGTGACAGTCATGTTTGGCCAGAGCAGTAGACGTCAAATCCAATCCTCTGAATTACTTGCAGCAATGGCTTGTACTTTCAGCTTTCTTTCAGGGAGCTCTTTGCTATCGACCAGGCAACGCTCTCCACCTTTTGCATTTACATGTGCTGGGAGGGGAGTAACATATCTGTCGTTGGGATATCAGCCAACAGGATGACTGACGCTGCATCCCCACCGCAACATGCCTTCTCGATGCGACGCAGGGGATGCGGATCAGCGCGCTCAGCGCTTGGAAGCAGGCCCTGGCCTTTGCTGCTTACATCTGCCACTTCCATCAAGACACTTTTCAAAGCCGCGGCTTTTCATTCGGTCCGCCAAGTAGATCTGAGCACCAGTTGCCGGATCCCTGGCCAGCTGCAGACTTGAAAGCGAAGGGGGAGGATACGAAGGAGCCTTGTTGAGACTACTCCGGCGTGGGCCGCACGAGGCTGGGCCTGCAGGTATAAAAATCTTCCTTGCTCAGCGGTGCGAGACTACCCACCTCTGATAGCTGCAGCTTCAGTGCGAGCTTCTTATAATCGCGACCTGCCGGAGGCCACGGGTCTGAAGACATACAGGCCCGGAGGAAGCAGCTCGGGTTAGCACGGAAGTATGGCAGCAAGTATGCCTGCAGACTCCCAGTCTTGTGAGTCACAAGTGCAAATCGCGATCGAGATGTGCAGCTGCGCGCATGCTGCGCCGCTACGCTTTTGGTGCTGATTGGCGCAGTACAGAGAAAGCTGAAAAGCACATGCGGGATGCCAGGCAATTGGTTCAAGGTTGTTGGGCCTTCTTGGCCTTCATGCCTAGGGGGAGCAAGTTGGGTTTGGCCAGGCCCTAAGCTGCCACTCTGACAAGTACACTGCCCCAGCCATCTTGAGCACTGAATCACCTCCATCCACCACCTGGTCACCACCTGATTCCCTTATAATTTACAGGCTTTCACACGCAGTGGAAGTGGAACTGCTGCCTGCTGTGGACGTAGCGCAGACAGTCTGTCCGCGGATATCACTTCAGCCTCCGATCCACAGCACAACTTCTATGCCCCAAGAATGACGACACTGCCGGACCGTGATAGCCCGTGGGCCTGCTGCATGCTGTGACGCAGGCTTGCCTGCCATGAACAGTCCCAGGAAAGATGTGCACCCGCGTTGACAAAGAGTAAAGGAGCCTCGTAAGGGTCATGCAGCAAATATCCGAGGTCTCCCAGCATCTTAGGCGAAAGCCGGCTCAAAGGCATCCTCAAAGGGACGACTGGCACACTGCCAGAACTTATCATCCGCTTGTTCGACTCGTTCGACATACTGTCCCATTCAGCTTCTTGGCGAAGGGGGTACCAGCTTTGACCTGGGCATCTGCCAAAAATGCCATCCAACTGTTGCTATGTGTCAGGCTGCCGGCGTTTGTACCGCGTGTGTCGAAGTGGTGAGTCCTGGAAACCCAGGAAGCCAGCTCTACGCCTTCTTCTGTGATTGCATCTTAGTATACGTGCAATCGAGGCTGAGACACGGTGTCCTCGACACTTCCGGGACAACGCACTCCCTGGGGTACAGACCAGACCCATGCCTCAGCCAGTGATCCCAACCTCAGAGTCACAGGTGTCAGCAATGCAGCTTCATGGAGGTGATCCATGTTCTTTCCATGGCATCAGTGCTAAGCTCCGTTGAACATCAAACTGATTGCAACATGCAACCAACTGTCCTAACAAAGCCTGCGGTAAGTTTTACACCCGTGCTCGGGAAGCGCGGCCACTCCTCTCCAGCATGTCAATAAAACGGATGCCAGAGGAGCCTGCTCAAATGCATCCAATGGCTTCGTTAGCTACGTTGTGTCCGATCCTTCTTCAGAATGGACCAAGTGGATTTGTGAATCATCCAGCCCAGACCAGGGAAATAATCAGTACCTCATCATATCAGCCCCCTCGAAGAAAACGGAGCAACAAATGCGGTCAGCAAAGGATGGCCTACAAGAAAGTGCGCACGAAAAAGCCTCGACTCGTTGGATGCAAGGCCCGGAAAACCTCAGTTGGCTTTGAAGGGACACGTCTTTACGCTTCTCTGTTGGTTCATACCCCATCTAACAAACCCCAATGCTTCGCAGTCATGGTAGGATCGTGTATCATGTCCTGCGGCTTTCCGTCTGGAGCTGGCACAAGGTGCTTGCGAGGGGCCATTGTCATTCCATGCAGATATGCAGAAAAGTGTTGGGTCCTCCTGCCAAAGCCAAAACGCCTAAAGGCTCAAGACCATCACTCAGACTGACATATGCGGAAGTCCTGGAGCAGCCACGCTGCTGCCCGGAAAAGCCACAGAAAGTCAGGCGCAACCTTCGACTTGTTCTGAGGGGACCGCTTGACACACCACTCTGACACGGCTTGCAGATGTAAACAAAGCCCTGGCCAGCAGGTCATTCTCCAAGAAGATGGCAAACTCAAAGTGTTGCCCTGAGCTGGACGCCACAAACATTCTAAGAATTCTAAGGCGATGCTGAACGGAAGAAGAGACAGAATGGTCTGCAGCGACTCTGGGCTTAGCAAAGGACATCACTATGGAGATATTGTAGTCAGTAACAGCTGGGGGCACAGCTCTCAAAACTCTCCTCCAGAGCGAAGTGGAAATGCTCTGAAATCTTGGAGACTGCGGTCTTCTGCTGCCTGAGCACCGTTCTGGCTAGAAGATGCTTGGGGAGAGCACGAGGCAACTCAGGGATGCGCGGTAGAGGTCGATTCCCGACAGGCTTGCCCTTGTGCCTCAGGCTACCACTCGCTGTAGAAATCCCTGAGTGGTATTTATGTAAGGGATGAGAGTTGTTGGTGTTTGTGTGTGGTTTCATGGGGAAATAGGGGGAGGAGGGGTTGGGGAGGCCAAATCGCGAAGCATGATGGAAAAGTGATGGAGAATCACGAAGAATTCAAAAAATCATGGAAAATAAACATGACAGAAATGATGGAAAACACAAAGGTAACGATTCAGTTCAGCAGGGATTGGGGGGGAGCACACACCCCTTGTAAATCGTGTGAAATCATGAAAATGACAAGAGCGATGACATGATGAACAGTGCTTCAAAGTCATGAAAATGATGAAACATGTTGAACTTGGCACAGGGAATTATGAAATCTACTAACTGTGAAATATGATGAAAGATGATGAATGATCATGGAAGATGAGAAGCTATGATGAAAGATGTTGGAAAGTAAGGAAATGTTGGAAAATGATGGGAAATCATTTTAAAAAAAAAAACGCTGGAATAGGAAATGAAATGATGAAGGCTCCTGTAAAATGACCCAAAATGATGTAGCATGATGAGACATGACAAAAAATCATGAAGTATGAGGGAGCATGACGAAATATGCTTGAAAACGAGCTGAACAATAATAATAACAATGATAGAATGTGATGGAAAATCTTGAATGAATCATGATAAATTATGATGTAACATGCGGAAAGGGTGTTCTGTCAGTCGGTCTGGCATTCTTTCTTTCTTACTCTCTTTTTCTCTCTTTCGTTCTACATGTCGTTCTGTCTTTCTTGCTTTCTTTGTTTCTTGCCTTCTTGGATTCTTTCTATCATTCTTCCCCGCTCTCCTACTCCACACC